TCAAAGTCTGGTTGGAACATGTGGGAGGGGCAATTCCCACATGTTAGGGGTGGCTGAGTTTGTCTTACACCATACTGCAGAGCTTTCCAACTTTTTATGTTGGTTGCACACTTTTTAGACATGCATCATTTCGCAGCACATAATTCAGTTCTACTAGCAAGCCAGAACAACTACCAGACTTTTAGAAGACATCTGAAGGCAGCCCTGTTTAGGGAAGCTTTTAATATCTGAAGGACTATTGTATTTTAATATTTTGTTGGAAGCCGCCCAGAGTGGCTGGGGAAACCCAGGCAGATGGGTGGTGTAGGAATAATAAATCATTATTATTATTATTTGCGCAACACATCTACACACTGCAGCCGGCACACAGTTTGGAAAGGTTTTTTCCTTCAATCTGGATGCCAACAGTTTGGCAGAGTCCTTTGACAAGCTGAGGTCGCAAACTAGATCATTCAACTCCTTTTGGGAAAATGGATGTGGAGCATCATCTTCAAGAACCACTTCTTCTTCTTCATGTCCTCCAACACTGGAGGCATCTTTGTCACTAATGTCAGCAAGTTCTCCGAAGATAGGCACTGAAATTTCATCACAATGAGCTACAGGACGACGTGCTGATTGAAGATCAGGATACTTGAGGCTGCTCCGGTTCTTTCTGTTGATCCCAGTCACATCAACAGTGCAGAAGCAGCAGTCAGTGACATGGTTTGTCGGCTCCCTCCAAACCATGGGAATTCCAAAGTTCAGACTCCTCTTGCCATTGGTCCACCCACGTAGAGTCTCGGTGCATGCCTTGCACACCATGTGTGGCGCCCAAGCTTTACACTTCGTGGGGTGGCTGCCCCATTAACTTGGTTTTGATCCCCCAACTTTATGCTTTGCAGCACCAATTTATGGAAGATTTCGAGGTTTTATGACTTCAAACTGATCCCTTTTCGACATAATCACCCAGAACTATCAGACCTGAATACTTCTTGTCATTAAAATAATCATTTCCAATCAAAACAATTATTCGACATGGCATTTTACCCCCACCAACTTCTTCTAAAATGCTCCACACAAGCATACATGTGAACAAAAACGTAAAGAAACGACATGTGGCCATACCTCAAAAACTTGACCTGATTGAGCAAAACCAATGTGATTTTTGGATCCAGCACATCAGATTCATCCTAAATCAGCTGAAAAAACGCAGACAACAAGTTTGTTGTTGACCAGTGATCTATACCCAACCTGAAATACCGTAATTTATTGAAAGTTTTTTTGGGGGGCATATGTCAAAGAGTTCTCTCCTCCCCACTTATAACAATGTACAAGGATCCGCAGGGGAAAGGTCAAGATCCCTTGTCTGAGGAAATGAAGTTAAAATCAGGGTTTGGCGAGGAGGGGTTGGAGTCAGGATAGGCAAGTGGAAGAGAATCATGGTCGGGGCAGAGTTTGACAGGATTTGACAGGGTGTGTGCAGATTATTAGGAGCTCCAGGGTCAGTCACAAAACAATAGATACTGCTTCATGAAATGGACCACCTCTCCCAATAAGAACTGACCTGGACCCTGCCATTATCATCTAAGGCCCTTCTTTGTGTGGCTCCTACACGACAGGTCCAGAGGGTGGCAACAAGAGAACTGGTCTTTTCCACAGTGGCTCCCCACTTGTGGAATGATCTCCTCAGGAAGTCTTACCTGGGCGCCTTTGTTTCATATCTTTAGGCGATGGGCAAAAATGTTTGGCTGATTAACATTTCATGGCCTTTTTAATATGTTAAAGATGCATCACAGATGGTACCTCACCCCCTCAAGACTATCGAAGATGTATAAAAATTTAGCGAATACTTGTTGGAGGTGTAGTGGGAGTAATGGCGACATGTATCATATGCGGTGGACATGTAGGAAGATGAAAATGTTCTGGGGCTTAATTTACAAGGAGTTGAAAAAAATCGTTGGTTTAACTTCTTTTAAAAGACCAGAGGCATTTCTGTTAAGCATTGTTGGCAGGGACATCCTAAAGGCCTTGAGGGAGGTATTCTGATATGCAACGGCCGCAGCTCGGACTCTGGTGGTCAAGGGGTGGAAGGAACAAGAAGCCCCAACAATAACGGACTGGCATTACAAGCTACTAGAATTTGCTGAAATGGCGCAGTTAACAAATACCCTGAGAGGCAATTCAAAACAAACATTTATGGAAAAGTTGGATAGGTATAAAACATATGTTCAAAAATACAGTAAAGGTTCGCTATCTATGCTAGCATTTGATTGACGTTGGAGTGAGTCTGAGTTGAGAAATAAGACTAAGAGCACATATTGATATAGGAATGTATTAGATAAAATGTAAAGAAATATGCAATAATAAGAGGACATTCATTTGTAAAAAAGGAATATACAACGGGATAGACAGGAACATACAGTGTGTTGGTATGTATATGATTTGTTTTTGTTTTATCTTTGTTCTTTCTTTTTTTGTTGTTGTTTCATTTTCTTTCTGGGTATATAAAATTTGTATATAATTTTTGTATACATGTTGGAAAATATCTGATAGTAAGTCCTGTAATGTAATAGGACAATATTTATCGATGTAATATAAGAATGTTAAGAAATAAATAAAATGCAAATTCAAAAAGGAAAGGAAAGAAAGAAAAGTGATGCTGCATAAATCTAAGAGGACCCAGTACAGAGTACAAAGCTAGAATCGTGGAACTGGGGGCCACACCAAAGGCCATCTAGCCCAACCCCCTGCAATGCAGGAATCACAGTTGAAGAGTCCCGGACAGATGCCCCCCCCCAACTTCCTCTCCTTCAGGACCCTTTGCCTATTGCTTCATTACAGAGACCAGAATTTTGCTTCCTCTCATATTCAAGATTTTTGTACTTGCACTATTGTATATAAAACAGGGACTTTCCGTATTGTCCTCTAAATGGAGAAATGGATTGTTGGTCTTGTGGAGAAGTTGGCTTGCTTGTCTTCAGGGTAAATGACTTAAGAGGAATATTCATAGGAAACTGCCTTGGACAGAGTCAGACATTGACCCATCCACCTCAGCATCGTCTAAACAGACCAGGTTTCAGACAGGGAACATTCTCTGCCCCAGCTGGAGATGTAATCCAGGATTATCTATGAGGATGATGATAATGCAAAGCAGATTGTCTAATCCTGTGCTATGGACACCCCTAGACTTGGGAGTCTTCTACTGTATTTCAAGGGATGTTGGGATTGTCTCCCTTTGGAAATGGGGCTGAATGAAGAATGATCCGGTATAGAAACATGAACTCCAAAACAGAAGATTCATCTGCAGATGGAACAGCAGGTGCTTCAAAGTTCTGAAGAAACATGGGGGGGCAAGTTGGGCCCAGTGGGTCACGGTGGGTGGGTTGCCATGGTAACAATGGCCTGCCCTCCTTTGTGACATCTCCTGCTTCTCCCTTAAAAGCCACCAACTACAGGTGTCCATTGTGGGTTCGTGAGGAGAGACAGAGAGGTGTGTAGGTGCGTTAAGAGAGAAATCAGAGGATTTGGATTTTCTTCTGATTTTGAGGAAGGCGGAGCCAGCATCAACCATGCGATCAGTTCCAGAACTTCAGGAAGAAGGAAAGTTCAGAGGACTTGTCCTTTGCGGAACAGAGTGGCTCAGGAGACTGAGAAGCATAATGCCGCTCAAAAAGAGCAGTAAAGTGGCCCCGCTCCAGCCCAAGGAGCAGCCTCCTCTGGCACCACTTGGGACAAAGCTCTTCAAGAACTGTTGAGAGCTTGAGAAGGCAGCAGCCCGACACCAGGCCCATATTAGGCCAGCACCTGAAGAAGAAGACATAATTGTAGAAGATCTCGAATGAGCGTACGGCGTGACGGGTCAAGACAAGGTGCTCTGCTTTGGAAGAATTAAAAGGGAGTAAAGGAACCACGAGGGCGATGAGGTCAAGGTAACCCTCCAGCCTCTCCTGTGCTGCAGATGCTCAGGACAGAGAGGCAAAGGGAACTAAGTTCCCGCAGGAGGAGTGTTCGCCTCCAGACCAGGAGAGGCAAGTCACCAGAGGATCGTGGCCGCCCTATGCCTCGGGGCAGATAAAAGCTGGCCAGCCCCAGTCCCAAGTTGCGGGAGCAACATTGTTGGTTGCTAGTTCGTGCCTGAACCCTGTCCTGCTTTCCTGCCTCCGCTCCTGACCCGCCCTGGTTCCCTGCTTGCAAGCCTGTTCCTGACTTCACCCGACTCCCTGCCCTGCACCCAGCTTCAGCTACTACGGACTGCCTCCACGTTGCACCTTTGACCACGGACCGGACTTGGACCTCGCCTCTCGGGTAACCCACGGGACCAGCACAACGGGGAAGGAGGGAGAAAGGATTGAAGAAAAGTGAAAATGCTGGGGACAAAAGGCTGACTGCTGTCTCACCCTTACCGTGCGAGGAAGAAACCAAAAACAATGGGGGAAAATTAGGCCCTTTGTGGATGATGTCTATTTCTTTTTGTGTATCTTGTTGGTGCGTAAGCATAAATAAAGCAAAAACAATATGTTTGTCGGGTTGTTGGTTTGTTTGTTTTTTGTATTCTCAGTTTATATTCTTACATTGTGAACCACCCTGTGATCTTTGGATGAAGGGTGGTATAGAAATTTAATAATGAATGAATGAATGAATGAATGAATGCTCTCCCCAGGGAAACATTCATGGCACCCACACTGTCAGCCTCAGATACCAGGCTGAGAAAGATGTTTAGGTAGGCTCATTAATTGATATGAGATTAATATCTGCTATGATGGTTTATTTTGTTCAATTAACTAGCACAAAATACAAAATCTAGAATCTAATATTAATTTTCTTCTTAACTATAAGGATTTTGGTGAATATACTGAAAAATTGCACAGCGCTAAAACAGACCAGTACATGACCAGTACTAATTAACTGATCAGGAATAGGCCTGCATAGTCTGTGTTCTGATATTTGCAGCCAATCTGGACATTATGTTAAATATATTTTTTAAAATTAAAAAAATGTCCAGTAGCACCTTAGAGACCAACTAAGTTTGTTCTTGGTATGAGCTTTCATGTGCATGCACACACGAAAGCTCATACCAAGAACAAACCTAGTTGGTCTCTAAGGTGCTACTGGATATATATATATATATATATATATATATATATATATATATTCTACTACAGCAGACCAACGCGGCTACTTACCTGAATCTAGAACTAAGCATATTCAGAAATGGATAGTGAACAGCACTACCTTGGCTCTTTGCAGATATGGGATCCTTTTACTTCTAGTTGCTATGCCGCTGCGTTTGCTAGCTGAGCTCTTGCTTTGTTTAGAGACACCAGGGTTTACATGCAAGGAAGTTCGCAGAATAGGACTCAGAATGCCATATTCTCCAGCATTCCCCAACATTCTTCTTTCATGCAATTTTGTAATTGAGAAGTAGAACTTGGTGCAAGCAGGAAGAGCTGAGATTTCAACTTAGGGCAGTGTTTCTCAACCTGTGGGTCCCCAAATGTTGTTGGACTACAACTCCCATCATTCCTAGCCAGCATGACCAGTGGTCAGGGATGATGGGGGTTGTAGTCCAACAACATCTGGGGACCCACAGGTTGAGAACCGCTGGATTAAGGGCACTATTGGGCATTGCTGGGCACTTGCACAAGGACCCTCCCACTGCATGGTCATCATACTGCGAGTTCTTGCTGCTTGGCATCACCACCTGTTTGCTCATCCAGCTTTTTCCTTCAGTGATAGAGGGAGCAAGCAAGTGTGGACAAGGGAGAAAGAACATTTGTTGTCATCTGCTCATTCACTTCTTGCCTGTTGCCTGGACAGGTGAGTAGGCAATGGTGGTTGGAGAGCAACAGAACGAGGGGATGAACATATCATCAATCTATACCCAACCTGAAATACCGTAATTTATTGAAAGTTTTTTTGGGGGGGATATGTCAAAGAGTTCTCTCTTCCCCACTTATAACAATGTATAAGGATCCTCAGGGGAAAGGTCGCCCTGTTATCTTTGGATGAAGAGTGGTATAGAAATTTAATAATGAATGTATGAATGAATGCTCTCCCCAGGGAAACATTCATGGCACATGATTATAATCAAATAATAGATCTTATTCTAATTGCCCCCACTAAAAGCCTTGCAGTTTTTGCTGTCACCTGTCACTTTTAGCACAGTGTTTTTATATGGACATTTAATCAAGAACTATAATCTTTTATCTATACTTGAAGAGTTCAGCTTATTCCACAGTCTTACTTGAGAGATTGAATCAAATGCAGCTTTCAGATTAATGAAAGCTAAGTATAGCACACCACCTGGTTTCTTAACATACATATCTATAAAATGGGCTAGTACAAAGCAATGGTCTATAGTGGATCTGCTTGTCTAAATCCTGCTTGCTCTTCGGCAAGAATAGCTTCATCAGTTATCCAATCAATTATTTCAGACAGCTCAACTTGCAAACTTGTTTCTGAGCTTCTAGCACATATTAACTATATTGTAGCTTTATTTGTTTGTTTGCTTGTTTGTTTTATTTAGTTTTGGTTTATTTATATGTTATGGCCCGCAGAGCAATGGAAAGCAGATTAATAGAAAAATACATATGAATTTCTGTTAAGAAATAAAAATAACTTTTATTGTTTGCAATACAGTGGTACCTCGGTTTACGAACTTAATCCGTTCCGGAAGTCCATTCTTAAACCGAAACCATTCTTAAACCGAGGCGCACTTTCCCTAATGAGGCCTCCCGCCACTGGTGCCCTTCCACCATTTGGATTCCGTTCTTAGACTGAGGTAAGTTCTCAATCCAAGACACTATTTTTGGTTTTGCGGAGTTTGTAAACCAAATCGTTCTTAAACTGGACTGTTCTTAAACTGAGGTGCCACTGTATTGATATATTTATTTATTTATTTATTTATTTATTATAACAGTATTTATATACCACTGTATCATAGATATAGATCACATCGATTTACAATATAAAAACATAAAACCAAGTTTTAAAACTTGTTAAAAACAAAAAGAAATTAAAAACAAACAATAGACCACTGTAGGGGCTGTACTCTTAATTGCCTGCACATTAATTGCCTGTCAGAACATAAAAGTTTCCAGCAGATATTTAAAAGCTGGCACAGAAGTTGCCTGTTGAATCTCTGTTGGCAGGGTGTCCCTGGGCTGGGGAAACTAAAGGCTTGATTTGCCAAACAAGCCTCCCCAGCTTGAGGAGTGATGATGTCAGGGATGGAGCTGGAACATCAGGCAATCCCTGATGTATCCTGGACCCAGGTTGTTCAGGGCTTTGAAATCAATTCAAGGACATTGGACCCGGCTTGGTAGCAGATGAGCAGCCAGTACAGCTGTTTTAACGTTTGTGCCACTTGTTCTCGACCAGAAGCTCCCATCAGCAATCTAGCCAGAGGATTCTGGAGCATCTGAACCAGACCAAGGACAGTTCCACGTAGAGCTCATTTACTCTAGCCTCAAGGTTAAGGACGCTGGTGGCGCTGTGGGTTAAACCACAGAGCCTAGGACTGGCCCATCAGAAGGTCGCGGTTCGAATCCCCGCAACGGGGCGAGCTCCCATTGCTCGGTCCCAGCTCCTGCCAACCTAGCAGTTCGAAAGCACGTCAAGTGCAAGTAGATAAATAGGTACCGCTCCGGCGGGAAGGTAAATGGCGTTTCCATGAGCTGCTCTGGTTCACCAGAAGCGGCTTAGTCATGCTGGCCACATGACCCAGAAATTATACACCAGCTCCCTCGGCCAGTAAAGCGAGATGAGCACCACAACCCCAGAGTCGTCCACAACTGGACCTAATGGTCAGGGGTCCCTTTACCTTTACCTTTCCTCAAGGTTGCCAATGCATGGACTGCAGTTGCCAGGCCATTCCTGTCCAGCAACAACTGTAGTTGGTGAATCAGACAAAGCTGGTCAAAGGCACTCCTAATGTCAGAGAACACCTGAGCCTCTAGTGACAAATAGGTATCCAGGAATCCCCCCAAGTTATACACTTGCTCCTTCAGAGGGAGTGCAACCCCATCCAACTTGCCAGTTTCCCAAACATGGGAACCTTTGTCTTCCCGGTCTACCATTTCATCTGGCCACCTGTCCAAAGTTTTTGCAGCCTCTCCCGATTCAGATATTATAGAGCACCAGAGCTGTGTGATATCAGCATCCTGGTGACACTTTGCTCCCTAATGACCGTGCCCAACAGCTTCATGTAAATAGTTTGAAAACTCACTGCTTTTCCTTGAAAGCATTTTACAGAATTATGCGTATTGTCTCTCGAAAGAGAACCTACCCAAGTGATGCCCCACACATACACTAAGTATTCATCCCCAACCTTCCTCCCTCCTCTCTGCCCCCTTCTTCTCGTCGATAGCATTTCTAAAGCGATGTTTACAGTTAACGCTAAGGAAAGTCAGGCTTTGTAGAAACTTCCTTCTTTGACATAAAGTTCCTCAATGTGCCTCGGAATGTGGCTTTTGTCTGTTCCATTTTGCACAGAACTTGGAACATTTGGAAAGCTGTATCAGAACAAGAAAATCCTGAATGGACATGAACTGGCATGCTCCCGATACGAGGTGTTGTGCAGGAGGCGAGACTATCTTGGCATATGATGAAATGGTGCGTGGAAGCTTTTGCTAAAATACAATGGTTAGTCTTCAAGCTGCCAAAGTTTTTTTGTTGACTTTGCTGCAGCAGACTAACCCAGCTACCCAGTTCAGAGGGTGTTGGAATCCTAGAAGCTAAGATCCAAAGTTGGGACAAGCACTCTTTGGTGAGAAAAACCAAGCAGAGATTTAAAGTCACAGAATATGCAGCAAAGTAAAGAGTGGAAATATAGGCTGTTAGACCTTTAAAATATGCCCTTTCAGGGAGCCCCAAAATGTCCCATTTCCAAGCTATCCCACTTCCCTAGCACAGAGATAGACCAATTCTTATTTTTGCAGTATTAGTGAGGGTACTCAGGTAAGAGCTGTATCTCTGAATCATCCACCTTGACCCGAGGACACCCAGACTCATCACCAAGTGCACCAACTGCGATCACTCCTGGACAGGAATTGTCAAAGTGCATTGGTAACCTCAAGACTTCATTACTGCAATGTGTGCTGCAACGCCGGATCTAGGGCAGTGCAGCCAGTTCCCCTGCAAAAAACAAACTATACATTCTAAAAAATAGACTAACATTGCATTTCACGGGTGATATTATTTCCACTGTACTTTCTCTTAAGTGAAGATGCACTTACATTACACTTCCTAAATAGGAACAGTTAGGCTGCCCTCTTCAAATTATTCTTCCCCTTGACCTTTGCAGCCCTGATTTATTAGGTTATAAAAGTCTCACAGAATAAAATTACATTTCCCCAGATACTTTCCATACTGCAAACAAGTGAACATAATTTACAATCCCTTGTACAAAGCTGATATTTAGATCCATCAGCACTGAAGCTGTGTACGTGCCGCTAAAATAGCCCAAGACTTCCACAGTATACAATGCATAAGTTTTATAGGATGCCTCTGTCAATATAAATCATATTTTACTGATGGAGGGATAGCCCTGCTTCATCGTGCATTCTTTGCATGGGTGTCTGGTGCCTTCTGAAAGCACAAAATTCTAGCCTGTTTCCGCTCAAGCTCTTCCACCTGTCGGCAGCTTTATACTCAACACATACGGAAGGCTCACATGTAAAAGACTTCTTCCAGTGAAGACTTAAAAAACAAAAAACAGTGTTCTTCTTCTGGTGGGCTAAAAAGGATATGATAATGTGCAGTAAAATAATTATACAAAAATTAAGTTGGCTGCCTGACTAATTGGGAGCACAGTTTTAGCCAACTACATTTTAAAATCTAACTTATTGCAGTCCTGCTTTAATTACTTAACGAGTGCCTTCTACTGTCAAAAGGTGGTCTTTAAAAACATCCACTTGTGAATTCATCTAAATGTAACAAAATGGTGCAAACAAAACCCTGAGGAGCTTCTGGCGGTTCGCCCAGTGCGAGAAGCAAAGCTACAGGGAATCAGGCAGAGGGCCTTCTCGGTAGTGGCGCCCTCCCTGTGGAGCGCCCTCCCTTCAGATGTGAAGGAAATAAGCAGCTATC